TAAAAATGCACATACACACACACAGTAGTGTACACCCCATTTATCTGTAGTTTTGCTTCCTGCGGTTTCAGTTACCACGGTCAATTGTGGTGCGAAAATATTAAACGGAAAATTCCAGAAACAATTCATAAATTTTAAATTGTGCACCATTCTGAGCACTGTAATAAAATTTCATGCCATCCCGCCCAGGACATGAATTATCCCTTTATCTAGGGTATACACTCTGTATATCCACTCATTAGTCAGTTAGTAGCCATCTCGGTTATCAGATACAATAGATCACGAGAAGGGTGACTATGATACAGTAAGATATTCTAACAGACACACCACATCCATACAACTTTTATTACTGTACATTATTATAATTATCGTATTTTATTATTAGTTATTGTTGTTAATTTCTTACTGTGCCTAATTTTTAAATTAAACTTTATCATAGATAAAGTATGGTTTCAGGCATCAACAGGGAGGTCTTGGAACGTATCCTCTGAGGATAAGAGGGGACTACTGTGTGTATATATATTATGTTTGTGTGTATACATATATATGTGTGTGTGTGTGTGTGTGTATATATATACATATGTGTGTGTATACACACACACACACACATATTCAGACTCAGTATAAACGCAACATGTGTGTATCCTATCCTATTTCTGTTTCTCTGGAGAATCCTAATACATATAGTCTCAGAGAGGTTACCTGTTCAAGCTTTTGTTGTTATTGTTTAAGCTTTCCAATGGTTTATTAGAAGGAATGTAGACATTTTTAAAAATCTCCAATGTCATGAACATAAATTGAGGTTTTCAGCCCTGATATAAGCTGAATCAGAAAAAGAAATGAAAAATCCAAGTGTATTAACATTTTTTCATTCATTTGCCATACAAACCATACAAATACAGATCTGATCTAAATGTACAGACTCTCAAACAACAACCTACTGCTTTCTTCGTTCTCCATGCTAAGAGACGTAAAAGCTTAAGGGTCAAACAATACCAAATGTACAGACTTCAATAGCCATCTAAGCTAGGGCATTCACTAGTTTTAGCTAAGATACACATGAAACAGACAAGTGACCACTTATATGCAATAATGTAAAGCAAATTTTTTGAAAAATAAACTTTAGTGGAACAATTCTGAATACACCAGAGGGACAGCAGGTTACCAGTTTAAGGTGTCAGCCAACTTGTTTCGTCCACTTTTTTTTTTTTTTTTTGAGACAGAATGTCACTCTGTCACCCTGGTAGAGTGCAATGGCATCATCATAGCTCACTGCAGCCTCGAACTCCTGGGCTCAAGTGATCCTCCTGCCTCAGCCTCCCAAATAGCTGGGACTACAGGCATGTGTAACAATGCCCAGCTAATTTTTTCTTTTTAGTAGAGATGGGGTCTCACTCTTGCTTTGGCTGGTCTTGAACTCCTGAGGTCAAGTGATCTGCCCACCTCAGCCTCCCAGAATGCTAGGATTACAGGCATAAGCCACCGCACCTGACCTGTTTCATCCACTTTTGAATCCATGTTCTAAAATCTAAAATATAGTTCTCTTTCTCTAAATTCAAAGTTCTAGCATGTCAGTATCTCTGCTATGAAAAAAAGACTCTGGTGAAATGTTTTTATTTATCACAACTGCTGTATCAATTGCCCAGGATCTCGACAGCTTCATGGAAGTCTGGGAAATGTTCACGCAAAAGGTTATTGCTTTAGCTCACTTAAAGCTGCCTCACACAATGGTATATTAACCTTTAGTGAAGCCTTTAAAAAACAAACAGGTTGAAAAATAAGTTAAAGAAAGCAAATATAGCATCTGCCTTTATAGAGCTAGCAACTCAGGAATTCTCTCAATTATGAAACCTTGCGGAGAAGGTATTTTTCTTTCTCAAAACCTGGGTGACAATAATATTCCTTACTCTAGATCTGACATTTTTTTATCACCATCTTGTGACTCCTCAGAGAAACAGTCAAAATTAGCCATGTCTTCATCTGAATCACCTTCCCAGTCTTTCCAATTATTGAAGTCCATACTAGGCCAATTAAACTTTACCATTTGTTAATCTTGGCCATGACTTGCCAGATTGTCCTTCTCGTAAACAACATAAAATTGATATGTCTGTTAATTCTTGGAATTATTTGGACCAGTATAGTGAAAAAGATCAATTTCATTTAAATGTTTAAAATTATCACTTCCTCTCCAAGACAACTGAATATAAGTTTGGATTTTTCAGAATTTACATTAACATCTTTACTAATCTTCAACACAAAATGCAATGAAGACACGGTCCCTTTGATCTTACCACTTTGCAGAAGCAGGCTGCATTGTGAACAGGGCAGGGGATGGGCAAACAGGTGGGCAGGCCTCTCTGGCAGCTGCTGCTAGGGAGTTGACTCCTCTCTGGTGGCAACTTAGGCTTTTTCTCACCAGTCACAGCCTACTTGTCCAAGCTTTTATGTACTTTTAAATTTGTAATTATTATAGGTACATAATAGTTGTATTTATTTATAGGGTACATGTGATGTTTTGGTACAGGCATACAATGTTTATTAATCAAACCAAGGTAAGCGGGGTATCCGTTGCTTTAAGCGCTTATCGTTTCTTTGTGTTAGAAACATTTCAATTCCACTTTCAGTTATTTTAAAGTATATCATAACTTATTGTTGACTATAGTCACTTTGTTGTGCTATCAAACATTTCTCATTCTATCTAACTACATAACTATATTTTTGTACCCATTAACCATCCCCACATTATTGCCCCCACCCCACTACCCTTTCCAGCCTCTGGTAACCATCATTCTACTCTGTCTCCGTGTGATCAACTGTTTTAATATTTAGCTCCCACATATGAGTGAGGACTCTGTGCCTGGCTTATTTCACTTAACATAATGTTCTCCAGTTCCATACATGCTGTTGTAAATAACCAGATTTCATTCTTTTTATGGCTCTATAATACTCTATTATGTATACATACCACAATTTCTTTATCCATTCATCCACTGATGGACACTTAGGTTGACTCCAAATCTTGGCTATTGTGAATAGTGTTGTAGTAAACAAGGGAGTGCAGATATCTTTTCAATATACTGATTTCCTTTCTTTCGGACATATACATATGCATATATATGTATATACGCATATATATATATATATATATATATA